CATCCATCTCCTTGAGAGCTGCCCCATGGCCTTATCAATAGGGCGTCAAGTCAGCCGTGGACGCACTTTCATATGGCAGCACGGTCAAAAGCCGTACATTGCCTTAGATCACCGTCGTTGTCGTGTGTGGTGTCCTTCTGAAAACAGGTGGTACGCCAACAGGGTCCAAAACAACGTCCCGATCTTTTCTGTTGATTGTCCGTTGAAACCTGGAAGAGTCATCAGGGATAGTGCTGCTTGCGTTCAGTTAGATCAGCCAGCGACATGCGCAAACATGACCACTGAAGATTCCAATTCTCAATTTTGTGGATCGCGTTTGGAAAGACAATATGCATCCGTATGTCATGACACTGCTGTGGAACATACTGAACCAATGAAAGACGGCACTGAAGATCCATTGTGTCTCGCGCCAATGCGCGATCATGAGCATGATGAAGACGTCCCACAAGTTGACACAGTAGAGTTGCCAGCTCATCCAATGGTGTCGGATACTGAGCAACGTCGGAGAAAACACAGGAAGGAGAATCGACGGAGGAAGTGGGAGAAGTTGAAGAGGCAGAAGCCAGAGGCTCCAGTCCGCAAACCCATCATCAGGGGGGTTGAAGCCGTAGAAACTATGATGAATGGACTCCAACAATTTTACAACGATAGATCTAGACAACATGATGAGCAAACATCCGAACTTTACCAATCCATCTCGCATAGCATTGCCAAGGAGTTCAATGACTTCAGCGAGAGCACTGCTGAGATGGCGGTTCCAGAACCACATCACCCAGGACTTCCAGGACACGGGACTTTGATCGAGTTCTGTACTTCTTCAGATTCCATGATGGGAAGAGTTGGAAAAGATCTTGGGATTCATGTCATAAGATGTTCTGAGAAACATTTGAATGTCGAAAGTGATGAAACTATCAAAGTCCTTGACGGCATCATCGAAACCAAACCTGGTGCCGACCTTTGGGGTTCATTACCATGTGGGCCTTGGACTCAGTGGCAGACGCTCAACGTGCATTTGTATGGTGATGACTTCGCCAGCAGATTGTCCGAGAGGCGTAAGGTGTCAAGAAGGTTGGTTAAACGGTTTTGTCGTTTGGCTCGCGCTGTAGCGCGAAAGGGAGGTCGAGTCACATTCGAATGGCCTCGACACTGTGTTGGTTGGGCATTGCAAGAACTCCAGAAACTTATTCGGGATCTCAACATGATGATTGTGGATTTTGATGGGTGCCAAGTTGGATTGACTGACTCAAAGGGTGATCTTCATTTGAAGAGGTGGAGGTTGATTACTACATGCAACCGTACTGCTAGGATCTTTTCAACGTTGAGATGCAATCATCCAGCTGATTTCCAACATGCCCCCATTTCAGGATCAAGAACACGCCTCACTGGTTTCTACCCCAAGGAGATGTGTGAGTATGTAATGCATGCGATGTATCCTGATATCATCTCACGACATGTCCCAGCCATGCCAGTCACACAAGTGATAGAGCAAACAGTTGAACACCGGGAGCGTGAGCCTGAAGAGGGACGAGATGGTGGTGTCTTCATTTACGATTCAGTCGACCCCCTTGCAGCAGCCGCAGCTGAGGGCCTGGATGAACCTGCCGATGATGAGGCTGAGGTCAGGGAATCCAGGGATGATAGACTGAAGAGGGAGGCAACATCATTAGAACACATCACATTGCACGCCAAGAAGAATCCATTTTGCCCACATTGCCAAAGAGGTCGAATGATCAAACGATATGCTCATAGACATAGACCCGAACCTGAGGACGAAGAGGTTGTGTACAGTATTGCAAAGGAGTTTGGAAGCATCATTGAGGCTGACCACATTTTTCCAGCGGTTGAGTCTAGGGGGCTTGGTGGTGAACAGTCCGCCCTCTTAGTGCGAGACAGATACTCTGGAATGTGTTTGACATACCCTCAACGAACACGCAATGAAGATAGCAACTATGATGCGTTGAAACATTTTGGTGGCAACAAGTTGAACGGTAACCCAGATGTTGTATTCCACTCCGACACAGCCCAGGAATTGACCAATGCTGCATCAAGACTGGGATGGGTGGCTGATCCATCAGCCGCCAATCACTGGCCACACAATGCCTTTGTTGAAAGAGAAATCAGGACCATCAAGGAGATGTGCAGGCCATCGCACCTGCAGGCAGGCTTCCACAGAAGGCTTTGGACCATTTCCATCGAGTACACAGCCACTGCAAGATCCTTCTTCACTCCGGCTCCGATCACGGAGGATGAGAGAGACACGGAAGAGGGAAAGAAGAAACTTGGTAAGACGCGATGGGAAGTGGCCACAGGTAAACCTTTTGATGGCGTCTCTTATCCACTAGGCGCATTGGTTTTCTATCGTTCCAAGGGGGACGGCATGGCAGAGCCCACAACTCGTCCGGGGTTGTTTGCCGGTTGGCACCTATCCCCTGGGCTTCGGTATCGTGGCAATGTGAAGATTTTGGACTATGAGTCTGTCAGAGAGAGAGGGCACTTGCACTGGCAACCACGTGTGATGCATGAGAAGGAGGTCTATTTCCCTCCAACAGAATACATTGAATTTCCTCTTGCATTAGCTGCACAAAATGCCATGTTGCAAATGACGGATGAGGAGAAAGAAGTCAAGAAAGCCATCTATGATAGATCTTTCGTGGAAGGGGTTTTGCCATATGACGTGTGCATTGATTCTTTTCCTGTTGACGCACCTCCACCTCCTCCAAGACACGCTTACATAACATGGTCAAGGTTGATGAAACATGGCTTCACCAGGGGATGTCCAGGGTGCTCCATGGGACACAACAGACACTCACAAGAATGCAAAACAAGGTTTGACGCCATCTTCTCCAGACGTGGCGAATCAGTGGGACCAACTCCGAGACCAATACAGGATGGTGTTGAAACTGAATATGAACCATCCATAGCTCCAGATCAATTCCCTGAAGATGAGGTACCCATATGCCCACCGAGGTCTGATGATGAAGAAGAGCTGCAACCAGCAGCGGTCACCAGACAGCTCCCGAGGTCAGAGGTTCTCTCGCGTCCTGACGCGATAGCCGCGATCAAGAAGGAGTTTGACGGTACTGGGGACATGGGCACATGGGATTTGGGATCGGTTGAGGAGGAAGAGACGGTGAAAAGGCGAGCCATAGAGAATGGCCAGACTATCCACCTAGCAGACCTACTAGCCATATGTAGTGAGAAGAACGTTGAGCTAGAACCAAAGTTCAGAACCCTCAAAGGTAGAGTATGCTACAGGGGTGACGCAGCGAAAACTGCAAAAGGAAATGTCGCGCTATATCAAACCATGAGCGCGTCCCCTGCTTCGATCACTGCGGCTAACGCCATCATAGCATACGGTCTGTTGAAAGGCCACAAGATTTCATCAGCAGACGCCATCAAGGCTTACCTTCAGAGCGTTTTGAACTCATTGGCCGAAACTTGGGTCAGGTTGCCCAGAGAAGTTTGGCCGGAAACTTGGTTTGACTCAAATGGAAAGCCTTTGTACCGGAGGCCAGTCATCAGGCTGCTTCGCAGCTTGTATGGGCATCCAGAAGCTGGAGCACATTGGGAAAGGAAGCTGGAGCAAGAGTTGGTAAATATGGGAGCCACGAAAATTCCAGAATTCCCAAGCACATATGTGTTTCCTTCCTACGGGCATTTGGCTTTGGTTGTTTATGTGGATGACTTCGTTTTGAGCGGAGACAGTTCATATCACGACTCCTTTTGGGCAGATCTTTCTAAAAGAATCATGTTGGATGACATTGGCGACCTGGGTAGGTTCTTGGGGAGACATCATTCAACAGTTGAGTTCAGAAATCAAGAGCTATTCGCATTCGACTACTAATTCCGCCGAGGTATTTCGATTTTACGGGTGGGAAAGGGTGACTCTAGGGGGAACAGATTGTGCCAGATAAGCCTCGAAAAAAATCAAAACCATCAATTCCAGCTTCGGTTTGGCAAATGCACTGCGAAATCACTCAAACCTGTTTTTTTTCAGGCACACATGCTCTGATGGTGTGTTCGGCGGAGATCTTCTGGAGAAATTTGAGATACATATGTTACAAGTCGGCAGAATATGCTCAATGTTGTATTACTGCATGGTGTGAAAACCTGAAATCAAGCTGAGAAAGACTTCTAAGCAAAAGTGCTTGAAAAAAAATACGGAGGCCTGCAGCCCGATTCCACTACCCAAACATCTCCTCTCCAGGCTGAGATTGTCAGCAGACTGCTCACGCGTGGTTCCGATGTGGCTGGCTCGAACCGGTCAAAAGAAAATAAAACATGTTGCAATGTCTCTACCTCTGCCGTGTATTTTTTTGCCTCCAAGCTTGCCCTGGAGGCTTCAGCAAGCCACAGTGAACCTAGCCAAGGGCCACTGACTCTGGCACCTTCACCGTGCGGAACTTTCAGAAAGGGAGCCCACGCCAAAAAAAACAAACATGACTGAAGTTATAAGCATATAGATTCCTATGCCTTGTTATTTGCACTTCCGCCATGCGGCCAAACAAACATAGTCAAACCAAATTTTGTTTGGAGTGGCCCCGCTGTTCCTCACATTGGTCTGAGCCATGAATTCTGCACAATCAGCCAGCAGACTGCTCACGTGTGGCTCAGGCGTGGCTACTTCGAGCCGGTCAAAAAAAAAGAATGGAACATGTTGAAATGTCTCTGACGGGTATTTGTTTGTCTCCAAGCTTGCCCTGGAGGCTTCAGCAAGCCACAGCGAACCTAGCCAAGAGCCACTTGCACTTGCACTTGCACCATGCGGAACTTTCAGAAAGGGAGCGCGCGCAAAAAAAAACACAAACATGACTGAAGTCATAAACGCATTGATTCCAGATTCCTATGCCTTACTATTGGCACTTCTGCCACGCGGCCAAACAAACATGTTAGTCAAACCAAATTTTTGTTTGGAGTGGCTCCGCTCCGCTGTTCCTCACATTGGTCTGAGCCATTCTGTACTTTGCTACACTTGATGTACTCATGAGCTGCCGAATCACTCCTTGGCCTTCATCCTGCGACGCTTGGCGGGCTGCGGCTTAGGCTCAGCAGAGGGAGTAGCCGTGGGTGCCGTGGACGCAGATGCCGATGATGGGGCTGATGGCACGCGCTTGTTCTCAAATTCTTTTTCCACATCGGCCGCAGAAGCTGGTTCTGCAACTGTCTCCTCAAAGTCTTGGTTGGGTGGCACTGCCTCAGCATCTGCTGCGGCCTGATCTGCACTTGCTTTGCACAACCCTTCCAAATCTTCCCCGCGCAAGCGCGCAGCTACAACTGCGTCTGGGCCTTCAGTTTGAGACTTGCCCGACTTGTCGTGCAGCCACACCAAGAAACCCCGGAGATCCTGGAATCGTTTGACTTCTTCCTGCGTGGCACACGCCCAGGTTGCAATCTCACGGCCTTCAGCTTTCTTGGTTTTCCAGAACTCAGAGAACAGTGGGTGATCCAACGCCCGGGCCCGTTCCACCTCAAACGTGCTGGCTCCTGCTTTCTTGAAATGCCTGCGGAGAACATCAACGCCCCTCGGGCGAACAGTGTAGTCCAGAGCGGTTGCACCCTCAATGCCGCCCTGATTCGCCACATCAGGTGTAACGACTGGCGCGGGCGCTTCACCAGGTGGAACGCCTTGTGGCGCATCTGCCTCACAGGGTGCCACTTGCTGAGCGGCTTCTGGTGGCTGACCAAGCGGTGCCTCGTCTGCAAGCTTTGGAGCGGCCTCAAAGGGTGGCTGACCAGGCTCTGCCTCTGCTGCGGGTGGTGCCTCGTCTGCAGGCTTTGGGGCGGCCTCAAAGGGTGGCTGACCAGGGTCTGCCTCTGCTGCGGGTGGTGCCTCGTCTGCAGGCTTTGGAGCGGCCTCAAAGGGTGGCTGACCAGGGTCTGCGTCTGCTGAGGGTGGTGCCTCGTCTGCAGGCTTTGGAGCGGCCTCAATGGGTGGCTGACCAAGCTCTGCCGGGGCTTCCGAAATACCATGTTGGCGACGCAGGAATTCAAGAAAATCTTCCAAATCTCCATCAGGGCAACCATTGAAGTCCCCGAAACACCAATCCTCATCATCACCATCTGCTGCAATCCTCGCCTTCGCCTCCACGAAGAAAAGCTCAAACAGCGGGTGCTGTCTTGCCCGCTCAAGTTCCTCCTCCAAAGGCTTCACGTCCTCACGAACAAACCAATCAGTCAAGTCCAGGTCGGCTGCTGCTGGCGGATGGTCGAAGTTGAGCTGGAGCGGGATATCTTTCAGAGGCAGAGGTCGCTTGGCGGCCTGTCTGGGCTTGGGGCTGTGCACCTCTGACTTGACTTTCCCCTTCATGACCAAATCCAAGTATGTGACTCCATCCACAAAGAACGGGCGCATATGGTCAAAAAGGGCGCTGCCTTGACAAGCTGTCTGCGCAAGTGACAGAGTGTCACGAAGACTATCCACGTGGCCTTCGAAAAAGGAGCTCGTCCACAGCCCCACTTGCACCTGCGGCATGTTTAGAGGCAGCTGGGTGTGAGCAGAATCACGCCCCACAAAGCCACCAGCACTGGTTCAGAATCCTAAAATTCCCCACCTAAAAAAACAAATCAAATTCAAACTCTTTAAGTAGTGAGAAAGGCACCAGGAATTGGCAGCCAGGTGATCTGGTTGCATCATCCAGATCTGAAGGAGCAAAACCTTCTGGTAGCAAGCCCTTTCCTGCGAGGAAAACCATGCACCCTGGAGGAACAATCGCGGCTTGCCCGGTTCGAAGGAACACGTGCCCGCCTGGCAAAAGTAACAGGCATATCTTAGTATATATATATATGTATAATATTATATAATGTATATACATTATCTTATTTATATATATATATACATCTCAAAGTGACATATGAAACCCCGTACCGTGCACACACACTCACAGCTCTTTTTCCAAACCCTGCCAGTGTTCAGTTTCACCTGCTATCCTCAGGTTTGCTTTGGGTCGGTCACTGTGTGACACGCACATAGCCTCAGACCAGTTTCACCCCCCTCTGGTCAGCTACCTGGCCACCCCAGGTTGGAACCTGCTTTTGCAGGTATCACCCGTCCCTTAAAACAAGGGGGGTAAGCACTCTAGTGGTCACCCCATGAGAGCGTCCCCAAACAGAGGCTATGTACTCGCCTGCCGGGCAGGATCTTTACCTAGGCGGACAAGAAAAGCAATGAATGCTATTTTGGTTCAACTCCACTTGAGCCAGCCAAAATGATAGCATTCATTGACTCACTTAAAGATGATACATGCAAACCCAAGCCTGCCAAGCTCAATGCATGGGTATATATACCTACATACAGATTAAAAGTATATGTATGAATCATATCAACGTGTGTGTGTGTGCAAGCAATGCAAAGTCTCAAATGCAAAGACAAGGAGACTTCAAAAATCAAGTGAGGTGACTGACAGGATGTTCCGGAAAGAACACTGCGACGATAACAATTTCAGAGCCCGGCACCGTGTGCTGACTCAACATCGCTCAGCGTCATGGTAGATAGGTACGCAGCACACTGTTGCATCGACCACTTCCACTGAACAATCTGTTCCTTGAAGAACTTGAACGGAATGCACACAAGAAAGATGCCACCTTTGAGGACCGAGATGAAGCGTCCCCACATATAATCGGTGACTCCAGTCCAAGTCCAAAACTCCCCGACAACTTGCAGCCTTGGGCACAAGTAGTTGTGGACGACTGGGCGCTGTTCATCATTCAACCTGTCAGGCAATGTCTTTCAGAGGCACAATCTAACTCTAAGTGGGCTTCTTCGGACTAGGGTTGAATGAAACCTATTTTTTTAAATCAATCACTCGCAGCAAGCAATAAAAAAGAAAATCAGTCGAGCAACTGCGGCAGCAAGGCGGTTACGCCTTCCATCAGATTTGCAAAGCACTCCTGAAGCTGCGCAGGGAAGTCCTTGCGCTCAAAGAAATGCTTGGACTTCTTCTGCTTTGCCCCCGCCTCTGCAAAGAAAGATGAGGGCAGGTCATCAAATTTACCTGCAAGGTCTCGCAAATTGAACATGCCCGGCTCGAACTTGATGAGCACAAGGGAGTGCGCATTCAGGAAACACCAGCCTGATGCGCAGCATGGCCGCAGCAATGCCACAGCATCAGTGAGAAGGACCACAACGTCATCTCGCTCCCCATCTCCGTCATGACTTGAGCCCGCACCGCCAGAATCCTCGTCCTGGCAACTGGCATCGCTGGCATCACTTTCACGCTCAGCCTGCGCCTGTTGTTCCGCTGCTGCGGCACCCTTCTGTCGGGCGTCTGCCCGGCAAGCCTCAAACTCTTCAAGCTTTTTGCGCTTCAACTGCTCAAGCCTGTCCAGGAAAGAACAAAGTATGCAGGCTGCTGCAACATGCCACTCAAGGTTTGAGCGTATCACATGGCATCGGTGATTGAAATGCTTTGGAACATTCTGCCTACCCAGGGCCAACCGTCAAGGTCCTCACACACACACACAAACATGAAAGACAGGCCTCTGCGCGTGAGCCTCCGCTTCTTCCTTCGCAGTCTGCAACGCATCTGTCGTCTTGTCCAACTGAGCAAGGGCCTTCTTGAGCGATTGCTCACAAGAAGCCATGATCTTCTCGTAGTCAGCCAAAGCTTGCTTCGTAGGGTTTGCAAGAATTGCGGTCCTTTTCTTGCCACTTGTCGGGCTCAGCTTTCCAACAGCGGTTTGCCGGTCAAATTTGCCAAGGACAGAATCCGGAGGAGGGTTGAGGCTTTCAGGCCCCAATGCCAGCAGCTTCTCCAAGCGAGCAATCACCACTTGAGCGAGCCTACAGCCCAGGACAAATGTGTTGGGCAGAAAGCATGTGAGGCCAACCGGGAATCAAACAAGTGAAGCCTGGAATCTTGAAGAATACTCTCAACGAAGACAAAACAGCTTGCAAGCAAGCAACTCATCACAGTCCGAAAATTCCTCCGCCCTCTTAGTGCTGAGGGAGACTTCAGCAATCAGTTCTTGAAGCTTCTCAACCCACCTGTTCTTCATGACAAGGGCCTTCCGTTTGATTTCCAATGCTTCCAACTCTGCGTCTGCGGCTGCCTTTTTAGGCTTCTTTGGCTGATTCTCTTGGTCTGCTGAAGGTTTCTCTGGCTTCTGATTCTTCTGAATCTTGCTGGGAGCAGCCGACGGTTTGCGTTTCTTAGCAGCTGCAGCAGACGGCGCGCCCTGAGATTCCTGCAGCATGGGCCTGGTGTTCATGAAGTTCAAGCCTGGTGCTGACGGAATGAAATTGAAGGGATGTTAAGAATAGATCTCTTGAATTTGAACCAATCAAGCGCCAGACTTAGCAAATCTCCGGCTCCCACTTGAGCATCGAATCTGGACTCAAACAGACCTGGGACGCCGCTTAAACAAGAACATGTGCATCTTGCTTCGCAACTAAATCGCGGCCTTGCAGATTTCAAAACTCAGTCAGGCACCTTCCCTGATCCTCTGCATTTCTTGGGGGTCGCTGCCAGCATCTATGGAATGCGTGGCGCCTTCCCTGACTTCCCTCGATGTGCCCACCTGGGCTCCTTGGGCAAGCACTCTAGTGTCAAGCTTCGCCAAACACAAGTTTCCGAACGCGTCATAACAGCGAGGGACTTTGGGATCTCGGACTGCATCATCCCACTGCTTTTGACTTTCAGCGTCTGACCAATTGTACCATTTCTTCCCTTTCTTCTTGAACCTGGCAGGCTGGCCATTCACAGGTCTACTTGATTGCGCAACAATGAAACCACGGCCTGATCTCGTTCAGGTACGCCGATTGGTTGTGCTGGTCTTTGTAATCGGTGACACTGACCTCACACAAAAATAAAAAACTAAATGGCTGGACACTGGGCAGCTGGGGCAAAGTTCGGGCAGCAGGGGGCAAAGTTCCACGAACCGTGAAACAAAGCAAAAACAGAGGGCCGGACAGCGGTGTTCGTGATCAGCTCACGTTTCTTGCCCCTGCCGCCTTGCCCTTTGTTGTTCTTGATGTACTCTGACTTCTCTCCCGCTGTCAGTTTGTTCCAATTCCCTACGTTGTCACGACAGAACCTGTAAGAACTGTGACACTCACAGCACTTCACCTGGTTGCCATACTTACGTGTGTCTGCTGCCGGTACCAGGTCGCCACAGTCCATACACCTCATGAACACAGCAGAAAGGGCAAGACGGACAATCTAAAAGGAGCACTGGGAGTCATTGGCACCTTTCTCAACTGCAAACTCAACAATGCGAGCACAGACACTTGATCTTGAGGTTTGGATCTCCCTCCGCCATGGCAGGGGTGGAAGGCACACATGCACCAACTTTTGAAACCTTTCGGACCTATTGCGGCGACATCATCGCTTGGTGTCAGCCATAAAAAGATGGTTTTCACGGAACTGCTGTGAACACAGCTGCAAATCTCAAAAGAAGCTTCACGCACACGACGCGCATGCACTTGCGCAGCTTGATTCTTCCCACGCACCGAAAGCATTGGTGGCCGGTCGGTCAACCCTGTCGTTTGGAATATGACAAAACCACTGGGCACATCAGGCCTACAGAGGCACTGTGCATCGAATTTCCAGCCAATTTGCACAATGCCCTGTGGGTACACCCCTGGACCTTCACCAGGGAACACTTCATCAACCTTGCTGCTTCCAGCGTGCAAGGAATTGAGTGGAGAAGTAAAAGTTCTGAGCCATGAGCAAAACGGCCTTGCGGTTCCAGCCAAACCCGGCTACAGCCGGTTGTTAGAGCCGGCCAATGGTCGTGACCTTTCCTAGGCCGTGTGTCTGGGTTCTGGTAAAGGTCGCACAAGGTCATTCCTGGAAAAAGTTCTCTGTACCGGTTCAAGCCTGAGAACGGTTTGGGACATGCCGCTCAAACACCCACGCGGTGGAAGAAAAATACCGATAAAGAATTGATGTTTCCGTTTGCCTTGCAACAGGAAAAATCACTGAGATAGGCACGGCTCTGAAGAGAAGCATTGCACGCGTGCGTCACATCGAGAGGAAGCAAGAGGGATTTCCAAGAAGAGGAGCTTTGCTTTGACATGTTCATGCTCAAGGTTTGCACAATGTTGTCCAAGGGTCGTGTCAATTCCAAACCTTTCTTCAACATCAAAACATACTTGCGCTGACGCGCGATTGGAAAGTTTGCCACCTCTCTGGGATCCAATAGGCATACACCTGCAGGGTTGTAACTCGTGCCTGGGCGCAACAGCGCGCAAGTCAAAAAAGATTCCCCAGAGGGAACGGCTGCATGTAAAAATTGACAAGTTCAATCTACTGGCTTCAGCTGAGAAACTCAAATTGTCAATCAGTAATTTCTCCGGAAAGTTCTGCACATTTTCATGAACGATTGCATCAACATCGCCTCTTGCCAGCAGCTTTGCCCTCAGCACACAAGCAAGGGGTAGTGCTGAACAGGCAAATAAGCCATACAACTAACTGATGATTTGCACCATCTACCAGCCCTCTCTTTTCAGTCCCTAACGCTGTCAAAAACGCTTTCATCGTTTTGCCCTCAAGGCCCAGTTGGTCACCCCACCCTGTCCAATCCTAAGCCAACAGTTGTTTCCGCAGAGCCGCCAAAACGCAAGCAGCTGCACAGGAAGCAATGCAGCATTAAACGCGTCCACGAATCCCTCTGGCAGTCAGTCTCTGAATGCTTGCACAACATCAGCTCTAAAGCAAATTCCAAGGAAATCACAGCCCAGGCTCCACGCACGGGCTGCCAAGAAGCATAAGCTTCAAGGCATCTCCAAAGGTAGTGGGGAAGCGCATGCACTCTTTGTTGTGCCGGTAGCAACTTAGCCAAGCCGCAAACAAATTTAACCACCTTTGTTTCAAGGCAGTATGTGTGAAACAAAAAAGGTGCCTAAACCAAGCGACTGTGTATGAGATTTCAATATCACCGTGCTCGACATGATAATCTCTTTCAGCTCATCGTATGTTTTCCTCAGCAGGCAACCAATATGCCATACGTTTCTAAAGTGTTGTCAACACAAGGGTGTGCAAATATCAGGTTACATTTAGATGGCATTGATGAAGCGCCGCAGGGTTCTGGTTTAAGTCTCGGGGATGCACATAAACTGAACCAAGCTCGTACTACAAATATTAAACAATAAAGCGCCGCGGGGTTCTGGTTTAACGCTCCGGGATATGCATTCTGAACCAAGTTCCTACTACAAATATTGAACAATAAAACGGCTTTGCCACATAACCAGAATGCACACCCAGCTGACACACACACACACACACAAACACACACATTACCAACATGTACGCAATGCGTATGTAACCCTTCGCGGAGCATTAAGAAACAGCAGGATCAGCACGCTGAGCCTTTACATCTATAAGGTGTGTCCTTCTCACATCAAACCGCTCAACTCAAGCTTCCTAAACAATCATTTGTCACAGCTCAGATACTACACACAGATCACCACATTTTTAGTTTCCATTTCGGGACCTGTTTCCCCCCATTAAATTCCATTTCGGGAACCTGTATTTGCCTTGATTTTTCTTCTAAACATGCACCGAATCAAATGAGCACAAAAAGATAAACAAACAGTTCAGTTGCCACGTTGGTGCTGTGCTTGGATTTTACCCACCTTTCAGGGTGAGGGTTGTTAGATTTTATGTTAGCTGCCCCGCCTCATCCTCCTCCGCCGGAGCTCAACCCCAAGCGCTAGATCGCAGTGCTCCCCGCTGAACCCAAACAGCAAGCTCAGGATCAGAGTGATCCCTGCCGGACCTCAACTGCAAGTGCTAGATCACAGTGTTCCCAGCCGAACCCGAACAGCAAGCTCAGGATCAGAGTGATCCCCACCGGACCTCGACTGCAAGCGCTATTGCGGTGTTCCCCGCCGGACCAGAACAGCAACCTCTGGGCAAGCTATAGGATTTGAAAACACAATGGAAACAATGAAACTCTAGATCTACAGCTCTATATTCATATGTATTTACCTGCTTGATCCATTCATTGACTGTTCTATATACAATAAGAGAAGGAAAAATGGCAAAGAAAGAAACTAGAGGATCGCCTCTGTCTAAGGACTGCCCGGGAGGAGCGGCCTACAGTCTTCCGACATCATCCAACAGACAGCTTACCAAGCTACTGCTATCCTCATTGCTGGCAGCAGGCAGCATTAACATAAAACCGTTTTGAAAGGCAACCCATGTCTGTTTCCTGCACAAGATCTTGTGTCAAGCACGCAGGCAATTATAGAGAAGATTGCAGAAAGGCTGTGAAAATATTGTCCAAACGGTGATAGTCAACGACAGATACACCATCCACCAAGAGGTTCGTCAATTCGTCCATGGGTTCGTCAATTCGTCAATGGGTTCGTCAATTCGTCAATGGGTTCGTCAATTCGTCCATGGGTTCGTCAATTCGTCAATTGGTTCGTCAATTCGTCAATGGGTTCGTCAATTCGTCAATGGGTTCGTCAATTCGTCAATGGGTTCGTCAATTCGTCAATGAGTTCGTCAATTCGTCAATGGGTTCGTCAATTCGTCAATGGGTTCGTCAATTCGTCAATGGGTTCGTCAATTCGTCAATGGGTTCGTCAATATTGACGAACTAGTTCGTCAATAGTTCGTCAATATGCAGGGAAAAGCTCGTCAATATTGACGAACCAATTGACGAATTGACGAACCAATTGACGAATTGACGAACCCATGGACGAATTGACGAACCCATTGACGAATTAACGAACTCATTGACGAATTGACGAACTCATTGACGAATTGACGAACCCATTGACGAATTGACGAACCCATTGACGAATTGACGAACCAATTGACGAATTGACGAACCAATTGACGAATTGACGAACCCATGGACGAATTGACGAACCCATTGACGAATTGACGAACCCATTGACGAATTGATGAACCCATGGACGAATTGACGAACCCATTGACAAAATGACCAACCTACTGACTCCTTGACACGCCCATAGACATGACAGACTGCAGGCAACCTAGACTGCCAGATGGCTGCTAGGAACCAAGACCGTCTCCACTTACTTTCTTCATAGGCTCAGCCTCAAGATCCCCAAAACATTTCAATAGTGTTCTTTTGGCAATCGAACGCAATACATACAGGTTCAACATCGCCTGTGCACCACCCCAAAGACCCAGATCCACACATGGTTTCGGGTACAAAATGCTGGAACATGCATGGCTCAACAAAGGCCCTGCATCGGCCCAACATGGCTGCACATAGCACAACAGGCCCAACAACGCTGCATTTGTACCCAGTTCCAAAAGGCACATGAATGTGTAAGGTGGGTGCTTGCTTTAGTTTCTCTTGCCTTACCTCAAAAACTAGCAACAAAATGCAAGAAGGTGAAATTAGATAGAAATAGAAATGCCCATTTACTGACTAGGAAAGCGGCAGTTAAGCTTACTATCAGTTGTGCCAGTTTGCGCTTGGGCCCTAGACGCGATGGACCAAAAGGAGTCCAAGAAGGAACAGCGTCGGCGTGTAAAAGACGCGCGCTCGTATTACGCAAGGTGTGACATCAAACGAGTGGAAATTCAAAACAACAGACAGCTCAAGCATCACGTGACATGCACTGAACGAATGTATAGAGAGATACAGAGATTGAAAGAGATGGGGAGAGAGAGAGATGGGGAGAGAGAGAGAGAGAGAGAGAGTGAGAGAGTGAGAGAGAGAGAGAGAGAGAGCGAGAGCGAGAGCGAGAGCGAGAGCGAGAGCGAGAGCGAGAGAGAGAGAGCGAGAGAGAGAGAGAGAGAGAGAGAGAGAGAAAAAAAAAAAGCCTAGGTAGCCTAGGTTAGATTAGATTAGACCACGCAAGGCTAGACTAGACTAGGTGAGATGAGATGAGAAAGGTTTAGATGTATGGATGGATAGATAGATCGATAGATGGAAAGATGGATGGAAGGATAGATAGATGGAAAGATAACAGGGTGAATAGATGGATGGATGGTTGGATGGATAGATAGATAGATGGAAGGATAGATCGATTGATGGATGGATCGATTCAAACAAAACATGAACAGAGAGAAAAAGACATACAGAGATGGATGGATGGATGGATGGATGGATGGATGGTTGGTTGGTTGGATGGGTGGATGGATGGATGGATGGATGGATGGAGAGAGAGACAGAGATGGATGGATGGATGGATGGATGGATGGGTGGGTGGGTGGATGGATGGATGGATGGATGGTGGGTGGATGGACAGATAGACAGACAGTTAGATAGATAGATAGATAGACAGACAAATAGATAGATCGATCGATAGATTAGCTAGATAGATAGGT